TCTCTTCTTACATTCTGCATCAGGCACCATCTCCTCCTTCGGCCCTGATTCAGAACTTGACCCAGAAGTAAGAAGAAATTCCACAGTACACAGGAGACACCTACCTTCCATTGTCTGAGAGAATCCTTGGAAGGTACAAGGAAAACTGTCCAAATAACAGTCAGTCCCCAGAGATTCCCAGAATTGCTGGTATTGGGGAACCCTGCACCACTGGGTCTTCCCACAGGAATGAGGCTGGCTGACAGCCACTGAGGTCTACAGAGAAACACTCACGGGCCGAACTTGTGAGCATGGCTGGCGATGCCCGGGAGAAGCCTGAGGTTATTAAATGAGCAGATATGAGGTATGATGTTAGGATGTGGACAGACAAACCCTGCATACCATTTGTGGCAAGTCTTTTGCAGTAACACTAACACCTATGACTCCAATAGTAAAACAGTAGAAGACAAAAGAAATGCATGTTGTTTTTTTTCCAGTCATAGTTTTTTCCTTTGGTGGTTAGTACTGGGGTTTGAACTCAAGGCCTTTCACATGCTAGGCAGGTGCTCTACCACTTGAGCCATACTTTCAGCCCCAATCAGAGCCTCATAGAAGATTTAGCTTGAAGACATATGATGGATCACCATAGTGTCCCTTTGCCCATTGAAACACAAATGCTGGGTTTAGAGACGTGGCTCCAGTGTTAGAGTGCCTGCCTGGCAAGCAAAGGTTATGAGTTCAAACCCCAGTAGTCCTGTGTGATGAACCTAGGCTCACACACGTGGTAGCATGCCCATAGGCCACCTCCAGTATACGAAGAGCAAGAGGGACCTGTTCTCCAAACCTCAGAAGCATAGGAGCCTTGCCTGGAGGGAATCTTGAGCTCAGGCTAGGCCAGAGCTACTCCTTAACCCCTTGAAGCCCAGAGTGGATCAGGAGCCACTGGGAAGCAGAGGATGGAGTGAGGCTGGGAACAGAGGCTACAGTTGGAGTCCTCTGGGACTGTCTTGCCCTTCAAAGGAGCAATTCAATGACATGATGGTTTTTGTCTCAACTTTTTCAGCACTGGTTGTCTTAGCAATGTATCGTTGTCTTAAAAAAATAACTCTTTTTTTTATTTTGAAATAATTTAAGACTCCAAGAAGTTGTAAAAATAGAACAGAGAGTTTCCACCAGTCCTGTACCAGCTTCTCCTGTGATCACATCTTACATAAGCAGCTCCTGGTCCAGCCCAAGCAGTCAGTGCTGGCACAGCACCATTAGGTAGACAAGTTGTCTTCATGTTGTTCTAAATGAGTGTCAGGCTCTGAAATCATTAGATCATTTTGTTTTTTGCATGGTTGCACATGAAGTTATTTTCCCCCCCACAAAAAATTTACACTGACAATGTCAGTCTGAGTGGAGACTGATTGCATTTTATACTCACACAAATTACTTTTGAAGATTATATTTGTCAAAAGAATAATTTGGAAGTGAAAGAGTTTAAAAATCTGTGTGAGTGAACGTATTTATCCGAGTGTGAGCCTTTGTTTGCATCCAACTGCTGTCATAACTAAGACATTGAATCTTTTTATTCTGTTCTACTTGACTATAAAGTCAGGGAAATAGATGACATGGCTTCTAAAATTTCTTGCAGCTAAAATAATAATCCTATGCTCCCTCATAAAACATAAAATTGCTTTATTTTAAAACAAAAAATTGAAAAGCTAGAACTTCAGCAAAAAAGCCTGTACTCAGGTAAAAGTCATGGGAAGAAAGGAGACGTGGAACACGGTGCCGCGGAGCCTAGCAGGTGGCCCACCAAGGCCCCTGTGAGGCTTGGGGGGGACGCCCACCTTTCCAGGTAGCACCTCGCCAGTGTGGCTCGGGGAACACATGCATGTCAAGCACATGGCACAGGATCTCTGATCCTCCTAGGAATGTGGAGAGAGATCCTGGCCTGGCTGTTAGTGCTGTACTTGCTTCTGGAATGTTCCCCCAAAGCTTGGGATACTGCTGTAGTAGACATAGGAGTGCAAGCGTGTCTGTGATACGATTTGATTTCCATTGGATAGATTCCCTTGGTGGCATTACTGGTCACTTGGGGGGAGTTCTATTTTCATTCTTTGTGGAGCCTCCATTCTTTAACCAACATGTGTTCATGTTAGTGCCGTGCACCAGAACTTTCTGGAATGATGGGATATTCTCCATCTGCAAGGTCCCCAAGAGGGGAGAGAGGAGCTGAGACTTGTTCTGCAGGTAGAAAGACACTTTGGAGAAATGCTGTAGTGACAGTGAGCCCCCAGTGTGGCTGTGATGACAGTGAACCCCCAGTGTGGCTGTGAACCCCCAGTGTGGCTGTGAGCCCACAGTGTGTCCGTGAGCAGACAGCAGTGGACCAGCATGGAGGCTCAGGTCAGGATCCAGCTCACACCAGTCAGAGGCAGAACTGGAAATCCTGGAGAAAGGAGCCTCTGGCCGAGGGGCATTTAAATAACTGCTGGGCCATATGGGAGAAACAAGTAAAATTAGATCCCACCACTCTCTGCACAGAATTAACTCCAGAGATATTAAAATTCAATTTGAAAAATACAATTTAACAAGAATGCATAGAAGAAAGTATTTAAAACTATGGGAGAGCATGATTTTTTTATAGCAAAACAGCAGGAGCTATGGAAGAGAGAGATATATTTTACTACATTAGGATTTAAATTAGTTACTTATGCAACATTAGAAAGTTAAGTCACAGACTGAGTAAACAGCACATACATACCTGACATAGTAGAAGAATATACAAATTCACAGGTAACTTCCCCAAATCCACCCCCCCACCAAGTAATAAACAGAACACAAACAGAGACTATTCTCACACGATAAACCTGAATGACTCTTAAGTGTGTCAAACATGTGCCATCTGCCCATTCAGGGATGTGGAAATCAGAGCACTGCAGTTGCTGTTGATACTATAACATCAGCTGAAGGAGTCTAACAAGCCAGATACTAGAGGCTCCTATCTGCAATCCCAGCTACGTGGGAGGCAGAGATCCGGAGGATTATAATGTGAGGCCACTCCTGGCAGAAAAGTCCATAAGACTTCATCTCAGCTGGCATGGTGGCACACACCTGTCATCCTAGCGATCATGGAAGAGAAAAATAGGATCACGCCAAGGAGGAAGCCAGACTGTCTTAAAAGCTACCAATACAATCTGGGCATCTGGGCACCAGTGGCTCACACCTAGATACTTAGGAGGCTGAGATCTGAGCATCACAGTTCCAAGCCTGCCTGGGCAGGAAAAGTCTGGAAGACTCTTAATTCCAATGAGCCTTCAGAAAACCTGGAAGTGGAGCTATCGTTCAAGTACAAGAGCACAGGCCCTGACTTCCAGCGCCAGTCCTGGTGGGGTGCTCGTGCGCGCGCGCGTGTGCACACACAGACACACACACGGAATCAGTACACAAAAGGGCTGAAGAAGGGTCTCAGCAGACCACCCGCCTAACAAACGGCAGTTCAAACTCCAGTACTGCCACCAAAAAAAAAAAAAAAAAACCAACAAAAACTCAAAACAAAAAGACCAAGCGTGGTCACTTTCCACCTAATTAGTGGGTTGGGTCCGCAGGGCCGGGGTAGGTAGACACATCTTTGGCTTCCTTTCCCAGGCGGGAATACAGGCCGGTGAGCTGTGTTGTCCGAGGTCAGGGGCGGCAGGCTGGCTCTGGAAATACTAGTCTGCTCTTTGAGTCAAGTGAGCGAGGGGCTCGGGGCGGGGTGGGGTGGAGAGCTTTGGAGGGGAGTGAGGAGATGAGCTGGAGAAACTCTCAGAACCCACGCAAACGGGCAGGGAGTGCTGCGCCCAGCGAGGGGAGGCCGCGGGCAGGGGCGCGCACCTGCCCAGCTGACCTGGGACGGTCACCGCGGGTCCTGCGCAAGTAAGCGGAGGCACACAGACAGCCTGGGGCTGGAGGTGGGGGTCCCAGCGCTGCCAGAGCCGTAAAGAAGCTAAACCTCGGCGTGAGAATGAAAGCCCTGGCTGGAGGTGGTCGTTTCCCCTGCCACACTGAGCCTGGGGACTGTGAACGGTCTCTCCCCACTGTGGGTTGCCCGCAGTCCTTTTGGAAGCGGTGGCCCATGTCCCAGATGGCGCCAGAACCGACCCTCGCGTAGACCCAGCCCAAGGCCACGTCTCGGTCCAGCCCGGGACAGGTGCCGAGCGCTCACCTGGGAACCCAGCGGCCTGTGCGCGCGCTTGCGCGGGAAGAAGGGCTGGGGGCCTCCGGGACCCCAGAGACCCAGCGTCCCCAGGAGCCCGGGGCGTGGCTGGGCCAGGCCGGTGCTCCCGCGCCCTGGAGCCGGACCCAGGGCGGCTGGCAGAGCCCGGGGGCTTGGCCTGAGCCGAATGGAGCC